ACAGAGGTCACCACCCAGCAAGGCTGTCCAGGGCTAATTTCAGAACAATGGGAGAGTTGCACTGACTTCAGCAGGACTGGGATGGTGCTCGCTGGATTTAAGACAACTGCCCACTGAAAATCTCAGTATACTTCCCCCTTTGGTTAAGTAATCCAGTTTTCCATAACATTGAGCATTTTGATGTAGCATGGATGCCAACCATCCCCCAAAAATCTGCAGTCAACCAAAATTTATGGCAATGTTAAATTCATCTCATACATTTGAGCTCTAATAATACTACTTAAAAAATGGGAAGGCTGGTGGCAAGCAAACTGACCTTGCGAGCTGGCAATAGAATTATTTCTTATAAAAATTTCTGAGGCAAACATACCTTTCATAGGAGTCTCCTGCTCTGAATTACCTTAATCCAAGTCACACTGTGATGATGGAAATGACTGAACACATGAGAAAACAGAAAATAACTTTAGAAAGAGATTTCCTGTAAAGAAGCCTAACACTATGCATATGCAGTAGAAGAGCTGCCAAAAGCCCACTATGCAGACCCCTGCCTGTGGTGAGCAGCAGCTCTGCAGAGTTTCAGGGGAGAAACAAAATCCCCCAGAGCCCCTTCCCAGGAAGGAGGGAGCTGGTAAGTGGAAAAGAGGCAAGCTTGAATTCTCTGTTGCACAGGGTAAACCAGAAACAAGTGCTGAAATCATCAGGGCTCTGCTGGCACAAGCAAGAATGATGGTGTCCTTTCTTCTATTAGCGCACAGTGCTGCAGTGGAGGGCAGAACAAGCCACTGCTGCAGAATGTGGTCTGTGCAGGAGCTCCCTCCTGACTGCTCATTTGAGAAGAGGCTTGCTCAGAGGGTTTTCACCAAGCTTTTAAGCCAGAGATGTTCATGGGCTGCCAGCTCTTCTCCTGTGCTGCCCTACACCAATCCTGGGCAGGTGGGTTCTGGCTGCCTGACAGGAGCTGCATCACATCATGTTCTGGGCACAGGTACCTTCTGCTGGTTTGTGATCCAGTAAGTTCATGTGGCCTTGAATCTTGATGGAATCCTCTGCATTAAGTGCATCCCACTTATCAGCGGCAAATTTGGCCACTGTTTATCCCTTCCATAGAAGTAGTCAGACTGATCCAAAGCCTCTTTTGCTCCACAGGCATTTGATTTCAGTGCACTTCAGGTGCAGCTCATGAAGAACACTTTTGTACAGCAATGCAAGTGCAAAACACTCAACTGTTCATTGCTTTTTCATGGAGAGAAGTGATTATTCTTCCCTACAGGAATCCTGACACTGCTTCTATTCCCTAAAAGGAATTTACTTTTTTCCCTGTGCTTTCAAGAGGGCAAACACTCTCTCACCAGCACAGCTGAAGAAGCCACTTCCATTTTTGATGATGCTGGATCAGAAGGATGACGTACTCAGCTGTTTGGTTTAAGGGCAGTGAAAATCAAGACTTTCAACTTCCCTATGCCTCATCCATTCAGGGACATTCCCAGTCTGTTTTTAGAAACTCTCCAGAAACTTCTGCCCCACCATACAGTGTCTTACATAGACAGCCCACAGCTTCTATGGACCATGGCCCAGGGAGGATGATAAAATCACCTTGGCACACAAGCAGCAGAAAAAGTAAAAACAATGCAAAGAGAAGTGGATAGCTGAAACTAGGAGTCTAAACCAAAATAATCCAGGGTGCTCGTCCTCTTTCTGCCACAGACTTGCTCTGTGACCTTGGGCAAATGCCTCCTCAGGAAATGGCTCAAGTTTCTCCACCTGCCCTCTGGTCTTCTGATCAAAATGCCAAAATCTTCAGCATAGCACCTGAAGGTTAACCATTGGGTTTGGATCTCCAATCGTTTATAAACCGGTTTAACTGTAATCTCAAGTGCAAAGCCTGAGATGCAAATATCTCATTCAAAAACATATTTTGAAGCAACAGTCACACATGGCTATGGAAAGATGATGATAATAGTGACTGCTCACAGCAATTTGGTATTGCCCAAACTGATATATCATATCATACTCAAAAGGTCTGAGCAGAAGCATCTGGGCCATCACGGCAGAGTTAAAAACAAGCCCATCGAAAATGGATAAACAATTAAAAATGTATTGAAAGAAGAAAGAAAAAGAGAAATCATTCCTAATTAATTCTAGTGCCCTGTACAACCCCAGACTATTTGTAATCCTACAGGGAACATCTTTATTGATCTGGGGGACGCTGCAGCAGACTTCTGATGCTTATCTCAGCATAAAAATAGGCTCCTGTGATGAGCAGTGATTTAATTACATGACAATCACTGCTAACAATGCATGGCGAATACCAAAAATATGCAGAGCAAGAGTGGCAGTGATAAATGCAAGGGAATGGCATTGACTTTCAGTAAAGTCGTCTATTGCCAGGGCTGGAGGGAGACTTCACCCCCCTCCTGCCCCTTCTGAGGTTGTAGCTGCTGTGTGGCTCTGGATACTCACTCTGTGGAATGAGCCGACCACAGGCAGACAGAAGATGGAGGGAGAAAGCAGACAGCCATGATGAAAGCAAAATTTAGCACACAAGTCACTGAATCTAACAGTCTTTTTTTGTCTGTAGGAACATATGCTCTTTCCACTGTGCATCTCCACTTGAAAATGAAGATATTTTCTTTACTTTGGGAGGTGGCAGTACTGAGCAAGAGAAAAATAAATGGTTTAACTGCACATAGACTCAGGCCCTTAGAATCAGCTGCTCTAGGTGATAGTGAGAGATCAAAAACTAGTCAAAGCCCATATTCCACATACAGTAGGTAGAAGTAGCAGCAAGTGTTTGCTCAAGAAATAATGTGGTTTTTTTCTTTTCATGTGACCTCATTAAAAAAAAAATCTATAGTAGGAATAAAAAGTAGTGTTGTTAAGATAATTCCCCCTTTTATTCACTTACCATTCTGAAGGTGAAACTGAAGTACTGACCAGCATCTTTGAAGTCACTGGAACATTACAGGTGAACAGACTTTGCACTGCCCTGAAGGCATTTGTATCCAGAATCATTTTATCCCCCCATCCCTTTGGGCCTCAAGGAGAATCTGGGCTAACCATACCTCTGGAAGTGTCAGGCCCAAGTCCTTAGGATTTGTCATCTTCAGTTTGTAGATGACAGTTAAGCATTTAATAATAACTTACCAAAATGCAGAGATGAAGAGCGAAAAAATTATTCTTTCATCTGCCAGAAATCTACTCACAACAAATGGAGGAGAAATCCCTAACTAAACAGCCCCTAGGTCCCCTGAGGAAGCACTCCCTAGCACAGGTTCCATACCTATCCATCTACCCTCCAAATCTCTGAACACCAGTGCCTTATTTTTCCTTCATGGACTGAAAGCCACTCTTTAAATGTGCTTGCTAAGCCATTCTAGCAGCCAATAGTTAAGAGTGAGAGGCATAATCTGTTGACTATCTAAATTTGACCATGGTTGGCCCTGTAATGTCCAGAACCAGATATATGTGCCCAGACCATGAGCCTGTCCCACCTTCCTTCTGCAAGGAAGTCCTCAAGCGTTTAGAAGGCTGGTTGCACTACGACATCAGCACAAATGAAGTTTACACCAGCAAGTCTTCCAGCTCTTACTTTCTTCCCTGTAAGAGGTACATCATCTTGTTCAGCCAAGAGGGAATTTGCAGGTGTTCAATCCAACACACAGGAACCGACTGGCAAATGTTCATTCACGTAAAATTTAACAAGAATCACCAGCCCTCAGGTGAAAGCCACGCTGAGAGTTTGAACTTGTGCCCACCCAGGTGCTGCTGCTGCAAATACTGAGACCTGAATGCCACCTCCTGCTTCTTCGTGCTCAGTTTCATGATTTATGTTAGAAGAGAATGTCTCTTATTCAAAACAAAATGACCTTCTAAATTCTCTTGAAATGCTGCATTGTTTTCAGTCAAAGCATCACAGAGAAAAGTAGATTAAAAATGCTATAATCTCAAGAGGCTGTTTTTTCATTCCAACACTATTTCTAAATGCTTGTGAATATTTACATTAATCATAAACATGTCCTTTGCTCACAAGTTCCTTGAACAATATAATTACTGTCACTGCTGAGGGTCTTCCCTACTGTCAGGCAGATACTTTGTCCCAAAATTGTATTTCGCCTGGCTTAGCCAAATTTAGAATGATTAAAACAGTCCAACAGATTAACCATCATTTGTAGTACCTCAGCTTCCTTCTGACTTGGTAACTTTTAGGATGCTGAGGAGTACATATTCGTATCATGCCTCCATGTGATTTGAAGCGGGAGATGCACCAGGGCTGTGACTTATGTAGCTTTACAACATTAAGTACAATGTTAAGTAAGAACAGGATTCACTACTAACACATGCCATAGTCTCTAAAGTCAAAGCTAACATTTCCAAAACAGTCTATCAGCTTAGTAAAAGGACGGAAAATCTAAAGGTTAAGGTTTGGTTAGAATGTATTTCGTCAATTTTTTTCTTAAGGTTCAGAGACGCCAAATTTCCTTCTTGATGTGAACCTATTGGTCTGATGAGAAAATAACTCCAGTTCCCCTTGCGGTAACGCCTGCAGGATCAGGCCCTCCAAATTAAAAATATAAAATAAAACCTAGCCCCATGTAGAGTACAGGAAATTAAATGGCAAGTCTCTGTGTTCAAGTGGGACAGCCCAATTCAGGGAGTTGTTAGCACTCTTACCCCAGGCAGGGAATTAGCAGCAGCCAGTCTAATTTCTATGGGAGCAGCAGTTTCCCCTTCTCATGCACACGGGTGTCGGTGCTGGTCTGCTGGGCAGGGCTCTCCACTGGGATCCCCGGGCTGCAGGGCAAAGCCTGGGCTCTCCACAGCTTTGTCGGGCCTCAGGAGGGGACTGGGGGGGGAAGCAGAGCCAGGGCTGAAGGTTAAAACTGGAGCTTTGCAAGCAGATGAAAAGGAAAGGTGTGTGACATTTCCACCAGCTGTGCTTTATTGAGTTGTTTGCTTGCTTCCCACAAGGTGCATTTCAGTGACTGAGTTTCACTGACAACGTTCCATAGGGCAGCCGAGTCCTCAGTCCTATTCATGATTATTCAAGAAACCAACTTTCAGCAGAAGCTTTTGTTTGGGCAAACATGAGTACACACTGCATTTGCACATACACATCAAACCCAGGCATTTACACACTGTACAGTTAGTGGACATGCTTCATATTCCCATATCTCCATGATTCTAAAATCCAAAAGACACACACTTAGATTTAAATTTCCAAATGGCTTCTGGTCTCAGAGACTTTAGATTGCAAATGCACTGAAACGTCTTTTTAATCCTTAAATTGAAAATATAAATTTATAATTTCTATGCTGTACATTGAATAGATTAACAATGTAAACGCTGATAAGCTGCACAGGCAAATGGACATACAGAGATATCAACTAATACTCTTGCTTTAAGATCCAAATGAAAAAATCTGAATATAGAGTTTGATGACAGTAGAGTGCAGTAAGTGCACATAACCCTCTTCTCCTTTAGGCAGGGCCTAGGAAATCCCACTGAAGAGTTTTATGTAGGTGGGATAAGGCTTTACCTCATCTCCTGCTGCAGCACAGATATACTTGTGCTCCTTACTCCACTTCAAGTAAATTCCAGTGTTAGCTGTTACACTGCTCTGCCAAGGGATGTACTTGCTTACCTAGTCAGATAGTAAATATTATAGCACAGTATTTTGCAAAGAATGGGAAACATATGTCCTAAACCAGATAAATTAAAAGCATCAGCTTAACCTCAGATGTTTATTGCATTTCAAACAGCAGTTATCAAAACAAAGAGCTCATTACAACATATATAGGTACTGGACCATCCAAACCCCTTCATTTGGTATGTCCCCAGTGCAACAATTAACACAAATTATTCTGAAACCCAACATATCTACATCAAAAAAAAAGGAAAAATTAAAAAATAAAATTTAAAAAAAAAAAGTGACCCTGTCTCCTGAACAGAAATAAGCTCCACGTGGAAAAATCTTAGGAAAAAACTCAACAAATCTATTAAAGTATGAATCCCACTTTCTGAATAAATAAGCGATTTTTCCTGCAGTTGAATGTTTTCACTCAAATAAACCATCAGATCTCACATGCCTGCTTAAATATGTCTGACTTTGGTCCTTACAAAATGACAAGACTTCAGTTTGATAAACCAGATGATAGTTTTAAGCGAGACAATGAGGCATTGTTTACAGAGAAGATTGAGAAACTGGTTTAACAAAAGGGTTCCGTGGACATCTATTGTATGTACAAGAAGGAGATTTACTGGAGATTTTGTAATTTCTACAAGGCTCTTTCCAACCAGCTTCATTAAGTTGAAGTAAATCAAATCATGCAGAGATCTGGCTCAGCCAGAGAGACATGCCGGGAAAGATACAAAATGAAGAAGAACAGACGCAGATGATAAGCTTTAGAATCTTTGGCATTTTTCATAAACATTTTCAAGGTTTTTCAATCTGTATATTCACCCATTTTCCCACACACACTCTCCTATAAATACATTATACATGTACTCTTTATACACAACTCTGTATACACATGGGTACACAAGCACACGTGCAAACAAAGAGGCATTTTTGTGGCTTTTTAAACCAGGATAATCTTTCTTCTATCCTTCCATTTGCAGCTACACACACTTTGCATGAGCAAAATACATTCTTTATCCAATCAAGTATATGAAAATGTGCCTGTCCTTATTCAAAGGCACAGTGGGACTTTGAAAAATAAACTTACGAAAAATTACTGAATCTGGAAAATAATCCAGTGGAAGATACTCTGCTGTTAGTTTTCCTTCTTCAAATTCATGCAACAGGCCCACAGAACCACACACAACTCCATTTGGATCACCCATCCATTTATTAGGTGACTACCAAATTAAATTTTTTTTGGTAAAAAGAAACCTGTCTCTAAGGTTTCTTTATTTCTTTGTTCTGTGAACTACCACAGGGGATGCTGGTGGTAGCCCCTGGCTAAGAATAAGAAGAAAACTCCAGCTCTTGTGCTACCAGTGACTTCTTGCAGTGGCAAGTTACTCCCACAATGTCCTACAGCACCTAAAGGATCAAGGGCTACACTATCACCAAAATTAAGCAGGTTTACATATGATTCTGTGTTTTAGTTACCCCAGTCAAACAATCTGAATAATGCTGGTTATATGAAATATATAAAGCAAAAGCACAATAGTTAAAAGACTGGTAAGCAAGCAAGAAATCACATTCTCCTCAGAACAGAATAAGGGGTCCTTTCTTCTGTCTTTTCTCGGTTTCCATATGACTTCACTTTCCGGTCCTCTCCTTGTGAACCACCAGGAAAGACTACAAGAAGACATCAGTGGCTGACCAAAGCCTGCAGACTATTGCACAACCACATCTTTGGGCACAGGGCTCTCTTTCTGCACAAGTACTTATTTCTTTAAGGCTATAAAGTGTTTTTTTTCTCTTGGATCTGTAGTGTCGACCCCTCTGGATTTAGACAGGAAAACAACAGCAATGCTGAAATTATCTGATGAGATGGAATTATAAAAGGCAAGTCAACAGAGTCTTTTCAGGTCAGTGAGTTAGCCTTTTCCACAGTCTCTTAATCCTTTCACGGCATAAGGTTTTCATGCATCCATTGCCAGCAATGGATCTCTGATGATTCCAGTATCCAAAGAGTTAACCACAGGGTGGGCTTTAAAAAAAAAAAAAAAAAAAAAAGAGGGGAAAAAAAAAAAGGAAAAAGAAAAACCACAAGTGCTGGATGAAATATTGAGATACTGTTGGAGCTCCTAGCTCTTTCTGCTAATTATGATAAAAAACTTTCTAAAATGTACACTGCTTGAACAGAAGATGGGTATCAAAGACTCGTTAATTCAGAGCTTAAACCTTTCTAGGCACAGTGATTTAATTCAGAAAAGAATAGCTTTCATATCTTAATGTAAATCTGTTGGATATGTTAAAAACTGGTTCAGAGCATCTCCTCACATCAGCTCAGCTGATCTGCTACACTAAGCGGAATTATCTCTTCCTACATAAAACAGGGAGTGCTGCCACATCCAGCCTTGTCTCTGCAATCAAAGGGAAAAAGAAAAAAGAAAAATAAAAGGTGCAGTTGCACCATCCTCTCCCATTCTCCTCCTCCCCACCCCACAAGCTAATTTATACGTTCCACCTTGCTCTTTTTTGGGTTATGACTCCATGCCAAAAAGACATCCCAAAAAAGAAACCCAGGATAGGTGTTTATCAAAAAACACATCTTCCAAAAAAAAAAAAAAAAAAAAAGAAAAAGCCTGTGGCAGTGATTCTAGTATTATTGTTCTGAAGCTAGAAGGAGGGGAGGGCTGCAGCTTGTGTGCACATGCGTGTGGATGGAGGGAGATGCTGCATTCCGAAATCCCGCTGCATCCTATAGCGCACTCCGCTTCCTCCTAATGGGACTGGAGCTGCTGTATGGTTTCAATTCAGCATGCTGCACCTGTAAAAACAAATAGACATGACGTTTGCAGTTAGGTAACTCTAGCTCACTACAGTGTGTGTTAATGGCTCCCTGAGGACAAACCAAGGGAAACTAAGGAAGGTTCAAAAGTAATGAATCATTTTCTAAACACAGGAACATGGGGGATTAATTGCAGGAAGGATTTGAGAAGTCATGCATCATTTCTTGAAACAAAAATATTAAAAGCAGATTTTTCTAATGAGATACATGGGGTTCTACCTGATTTCAGCAACATAGGGTAGATCTTTTGGGTTTGTTTTGGTTTGGGAGTTGTTTTTCTTATCTCTCTGGCATTAACCTATAAGTTTAATAAACTTCTCTCAGGAGTTTCAATTCAAGTGGATCCCAATAGACAGTAAGATGACAGTTTTCAAAACCATACACAGACCTTGGGAGGTTGATGTACTTAATCATTTCCAAAAAAGGAAAGTATACTCCCAAATAGAACCTGGGAAAAGCTACCTCCACCTTCCAAAACAAATTCATATACAATATAATGGTTAAAACACATGTGATAAACTGCAAAGGATTGTGTAATCTCCAAATTGTCTGTTGTGGTAGAGAAAAGTATTCCCATTGAAATCATGGGGAAACTTTGGCTGAACATGCCATCTTTTTTACCCCTTTTCTGTCTTTTGTCCAACACATGTGGGTTGTAAATGGCAAATGTACAGACAGAAGTACTTTCTAACTCATTGCAGTACCCCAGTGAAATGCTGATGCATTGATAGCATGTACAAAGCAGGGGCTTTGGAGCTTCCATGGATGACTTTTCACTAGAGTGTGGCTGTCACTTGGCCTCACTATTTTTAGCACTAGTAGAAAACTCCAAGGTTTGTCCTATCTGAGGAACTTTTATCAATCCTCCCATAGAAAGTGGTTATCATTTTCCTTGGAGAGCTCAAAGGATCCCAAAATGATAGAAACCACACAAGGAAATGTTATAAATATAAATGTTAAATAAAGCATAAATAGAAAAGCAGCTTATCTTTAAACATAAACACTTAAAGGGCATATGCAAACCATCACTGCAAATCCAGTGGCCTCTACAAGAGCAATGACAAAAAACAAAACTACACTGAAGCCTAATGTCTCTATGATTGTTCCTGTTTAGCATTTTTCCTCCCACCAGCCTATGGTGAGATTTCTTTCCAGTTATTAGTGCTGCCACCAACCAATCTGGTGGCCTCTTGAGATAAATATCACCAGAAGCTTTTCCCAACCTTGTTTCTACCAGATGCCTTGACACTGCATGTGAGCAATTATATTTCTGTCTCCAACAGCATACAGTCACCATACATGAGATTATGATTCCCTTATTCCCACCGAGGAGCATCTCACAGGGAAAGTGCCACGATTCACAGAGAAAGGTACAATGTCAGTGGGATCCAGGGCATCAGGATCAGGGCCTGAGGACACAGACTCCAGTTGATTAAAACAAAAGAAAGAATCCTTTATATCGTGTGGCTTCATTACCCAGCAAGACTATTTTCCCTCCTCCAAGAGAAATAAACAGATCTTGACATTCTAAAGGACTTATTGTTCAAGTAATTTCTAGGAAGATAGGCGAGATTACTGAAGACAGTGTTGTTGTTTCAAAGAATAGGAGAAGAGACAAGACTTGACTGAAATTCAGGGAGGATAGATTCTGGTTAGATTAAAACTTATAATTCCATAATGGCAGAAGATTGATCTGATCAACTGCAGAGAATTTTATACACATTTCAAGGTTTTCTTTAAAGAAAAAGATGAGCAGGGCATTGTCCAAAGGAGGCCTGGAGCTCAAGCACAAAGTCACGGAAATAATTCCCCCCATTCCTCCCCCTACCTTGAGAAAAGGAAGAATTCAGCAAATCCTTTTGGATGGTTATCTCTATCAAAGAGACTATTTTTCTCCTCCCTCCGTACCAATACCGGAGCAGAAAGGTGACGAAAACCATAGTTCAGTAACCACGCTGAGTGATTTTCCAGATCATTTTTTAAGTAGGTCTTTTCAGGATAATTTTTCTGCAATCATTTTATCCTTCTGACAAAGGATTTTGGCTCTCCTCTCTTCTAACGCTCTCTCTCCCCCCTCCCTTTGTGGATTTTCCCCCATTCCTTATCTCCGTTATTCAAAAGTGCATTGCCATTGTATTCCCAAGCGGAGTGCTCGGCCGCTCTCAGTGTCACTCGTGGCCTCCGTTGGCAGTGGCCATTCATTACTTACCTTTTGAACATCAGATGGTACCCTGGAGAGGAAATCTAGTAGCTCATTATTGTCGATGGCGTAGGGATTTCTAAGCTTCTTAGTAAATTTATTTATGCCTAGGAAGAAAAGGAAAAAAAATACAGGCAAACAAAATAATGCAACCCTTCTCTACTCTCCCCCTCTAAGCTGTTCAGGCAAGGTGAAAAAGGGAAGAGGGATTCACAAGTAAAAATTAGTGTGAAAACAGTGCCTTAAAGCCACACAACATGTTCCCTGTCACGTGGAATCATCTGCAAGTGCCTCCTGGAGGAAGGAGAGGGCATTATTGATAAAGGTATTTCTCTACTTTGGGCATCATCTGTTGCCAACAAGGTGGTGAAAAGAGATTGCAGCATGAATTCTTCCTGGGGGATATTCTGGGATAGAATACACACGTTTACAAACAAGACTGCTGTTAAATCTGCTTCCTAGATGACCAAAGATATCCCCTCTCCTCTTGCCCAGGCAACTGGAGGGCTTTGAAAATAACTAGGTAGGGAAAGGTCTTTTTTTCCTTCCATTTCTACTCAAAATGAAAGCTTCCTTTCCCCATCATGTCTCAGAGCTTATCCCCTCTTTGCAGAGCCATATTTGACAAGTTGGCCATATTATGATGCTGTGGGAAACTCTAAAAACTTATCACAATGTTTACTTTATTTTGATCATTGTGTGAATAATTTGGCTTGCTAACTGCAGCAACTGTGCTCCCCATCTCCATGGGGAGCTGTCGGAGGTGATCCCTAGTCTGGACAGTAGATCTACGGGACTCTAATGTTCATATTATTGTGGAGTTCATGAGCTCTTCTCTTGCCTTGCATGAGGTCTTCTTCTAGGTGAAGAAAATCAGCTAATCCATTTTAAAGAACAGCAAAAAATTCAAATGCTGGTTGTCTCTGAGGATCATAATACAGCATGCAATTCCATCATGCCCCTGTCCAAAATCTCATCGTGGTTTCCCTGAAAGTGATTTTGAATGTGGAGGCTGCTCCAGCCTTCTCCTCTCCCTGAAATGTACCTGCTTCACATCCGAGATTCAGCTTTTAAGCCACATACTTGTAGCAAAATGACAACACAATTTTCTGTGTACCTGATTTTTAAAAAACAGAAAATACCATAAGGTCTTTTGAGGCCTTGCCACAGGGTAGTTGTTTAACATGTATCATATTTGAAGGCCCTGTCACTCTAGATGATGTTGAACGGATGTATAGTTTTCATGTACCCACCATGTCTTCCACACAAGAACAGCAATATTTTGTTACTGAACTTTTTACTCCCAGCAATTTCTCTCCTTTCCTTTTGCCCTTTCTTTTGTTTGATTTAATGCTTTATTTGTTTTTTTTTGTTGGCTGCTGTTGCTGCCCAGGAGTGGCTTTTTTTACTGCCACCTTCTCATTCCCTCCGTTTTCTACATCCAGGAGAGCCAAGACAGCTGCAGATGGTTCAGCCCTGGAGGGGTGACAGGAGGTCCCTACAACCCAGAGCCACACTAGGGCCAAGCTTTCACAGGTCAGTGAGGATTACCTGCACAATATTCTCAACCATTTTACCTCAAGGCTGAGATAAAAGTCACTACCCTAAATAAGACAGGAGACCATTTGGAGATGTAGAAAGTCTTCAAGCAGCTGGAATCACAGAATGGTTTGGGTTGGAAGGGATCTTGACCAACTCAATCCAACATCCCTGCCATGGGCAGGGATACCTTCCACTAGACCGGGTTCATCCAAGCCCCATCCAACTGGCCTTGAACACTTCCAGGGACTGTGCATCCACACCTTGTACTAGTGACTCATCACCATCATAGTATTTTCCTAATATCTAATCTAAACCCATCCTCTTTCAGTTTAAAGCCATTCCCCCTTGTCCTGTGACTACATGCCCTTGAATGCCACCTCCTTTAGCAAAAGATGATCTTATACTTCTTCATAACACCATTGGGAAAGTTTTAATTTTTAAAAGCTCCTCTTTTACTTTTACTTCATGGTGTATCTTCATACAAATGCTTTCTGACCCATGACAAAAGGAGATGCTCAGGGTCTCCCACTGGGTTCTGGGCACACTGCCTGTTCTGATTGCAGGGATATTCAGACCCAAAAGGCTCCTGGGGTCCAGGTCTACGTGGTCCAGCTCTGAAAACACTTCTTGTCCACTTCCTACCATTTCCCAGCTGGGGGGCTACAGCACCAGGAAGCTAATTACTTTCTTGCAGAAGAATAATAACACTGAAAGTAGCTTATCTAGGCTAATGCTCTTCTTGCGGTGCTGTTGGAAACTTATAAAGAACCCTAAGAAAAGCAAATTATCGGATAACCAAGGGGGGAGAAATGGTAATTTTAAGAAGTTCATAACATCTTTATTCACCTCTAAGCAACGGCACTTGTTTGTCTGTGTAACAGGTTGTTTAAAGCTTGTTTGATTTCATTCTGTAGACATATATTGTATTTAATCTCATATAAATGAGACACAGTGGAGTACTTACCCCAGATTAAAATTATGTACCTCAGTGGTATAAAATACAAAATAACTGTTGCTGCTGCCAGGACCAAGCAGGCCAGGACAGAGAGGAAAGGCACCGTCCAGTTGAATGTGCTGTAAGGAAAAAACAATCCTTCTCAACATTTCTGTTCTTGGACACTGTTTGTACTCTGCTACCCAATAACAATTTAATGACCTCTTTGCAGTGGTTGGCACAGTCAGATATGCCATAAATTGCAGACACTTTGGAAGGTGGATAAGCAGATTCCTACATCTGGATGTTATAATGGATTAAGGGAGATATCTGAGAGGCAGATATCACGATAAGGAAAGAGAAAAGGAGCCCAGGGGAGCTCAGTGAAGTTGTTAGGCATGTAAGTGAGTTGTTTTTGTTTTTTCTTCTACGTGTCGCACTTGTTTCACATCTCTGCTCACCAGTCAGCTCTTCATTATTCATGGGTGGATTATCTGATCTGCAGACAGAGCCATCAGAGCTGGCTCCACCGGGCCACGGTGGAGATGACATGAGATGTGTGTCAGTGCATGACTCAAATGTGGCAGGTAGCCAGAGTCAACCCTGATGGTAACTTGGAATGGATTAATTATGATGCTAAACTTTGAAAGAGCAGTTAGAGTAATTCCTCTGTATAGCATTAGGGAATAATGTTTTATATAAATCTCTCTTTGTGTACATAAATTTGCTTCTATTTCTTTAAATTTTCAACAATTCCTTACTACACTGTACATAGGAGGCTGGCCTGGGTAAGCTGTAATATTCTAGCAGCAGTCCAAGCTTCTGCATTCCAACAATCTGCATCAGATTTCTCCCAAGGGAAGCACTCTTGAGAGGCTCAGTTACTAAAGTATTTCAGACTTTTACAACATTGTAGTGAAAAACAGGACTTTATTTCACTCTGACCTCTCATCTCTAAGTCAATGACAGACTTAAGGTGAGCAGCTACTGCTAACATACCTTTGAAGTTACTTTGTCCCTCCATGCCCTTATAAGACATAACCCTATGGCATGCAACAAATATTGAGATACCTGGACTACAATAATGCCAGTTATTCCACAGTTACATGGATTTTAGTCCAGTTAGATGGATTTACAGATCTGGGCATCTCTGTTTCTCACAATCTGCCTGCTAACTTCATCATATCACAATGACGGGGAGTAGGAAGAAGAGAGAATGAACGTGGACCACTGATCAGGCTATAAAATAAGACAAACTTCCCTTGACAGATAAAATTAATAGGACGCTACAAGAATTACTTTTAAGCTTCAACAGACGTATTAAATATTAAGTAAAGATAGGTGGGAGAGGACCCATCATCATCAATCAAGTAGCTTAAGCAAAAAAAAAAATAGCAAAATAGCTCAATTCAGAGAAAACTCCCTATGATTGTGTAACTGGAGTGACAGACGGAAACTGCAGCACAATTCAGTCTGTCACTTACAAAAAAACTTTGATAGCAATTTTTTAATGGTACATCACTGTTGAGTTACAACAGAATTCTTCTGAAATTACATCGGGCCTCCACATTAATACCCAATGTGTTCTTTAAGACCATTGTTACCAAAATGAATACAAGAATTAATAGTGTTTAAGTGCTCTGAGCCTTCCTGCCATGCAGCTGGGCAGAACAGTGCCCTGTTCATAGACTGGAATACATCTTTGGGCCATTTCCACCCCAGCTGGGGTGTCCGGCATGGAACCACAGCACATGCGTTTGCTGTATTTTTAGCTTGAACCCAGCTCCTCATTAAAGTGTGGCTCGATCACAAACCATCACTTTGTGTTCAAAACAGAAAACAATGTGGGTCAATTAAGCTCCAGTAGATTGAGTTATAAAAGTTTGTGTGTGTTTGTGTGTGGGATTTTTTCTCTTTTTTTAGGCTCTTCACCTCCCTCCGTTTTAAGGTCAGTAATACACTGTGTGCCTCCCCTTGCAACGAGACCCTGAAAACCCCCTTTGGGCTTCCTTGTGGCACCAGCAGGAAGCAGACAGCTCAAAATGGCAAAGAGAAAAGAACATCAACGCATTGGCCAGAGACATAAGTGACTGGTAACCCCTGCAGCCAGGTCTGGACACGGAGGGCGTGAGAAAAGCAACAACCAGTTCCTACCTACTTTCTGTGATGGGAGTGAAAAGAAATGCCTGATGCTTCTGTGCCCACATCTTCAAGAAGTATCTGTGTCATTCATGACTCCCTACTCCATCACAAACAAATAAGACCAGAAATTTAGGCAAATGGGGAAGGTATCAGTAAAGCACTTGGCTTCACCTCTTCTCTAGGCTTTGAAAAGGTTTTTGGAATAAATGACTATAAGAGAAGCAGCAGTGGTGGGACTGGTGAGGATAACCTGCTGCACCTTGAAGTCATTTTTGGAGCAAGACATTCACTCCACCTTAGTCCTCCTGGTTCTGCTTCACTGCAAATCACAGTTAAGCAATAAAAAATTTATTACTTACTTTTTAATCCTCTCTCCAAACGATGCTATTTCTTCTAGGATGCTTTGAACAGCTATGATGATCTCTTGGACCATGTGGATTCTGTCAATTAGCCCCTTTTTCTCAGATTCCTAACACACAAAAAACAAAACAGAAAACCAAAACTTTTTTTTAATATCTTCAGTATTTGCTAGGATGTTCAAAGACATGTGAACAAAGTAAGATTCCCAGAAATGCTGTTGTGTCCATGAACTCAAGTATGTCACTGAAGGAAGGAAAGAACACACACTCAGGGTTTATCACATACAATTAACATTATTTTTTAATCGTATGTAATATATATGGAAAATATAGATCCCTATTTTCTTCCTTTTCCTCAACATGTGGGTAGAGGTTTCTTCACCTTCCAATGCAAATCAACTGCAGAATCTCAACCAGGACTTCCCTGAAGAACTTCAGTTTCACCCCAAAGCAAAAGAGGTGTTGAGCACTCCCAATGTGCAGTGCTGGCTGCTCAGTGCTCCTCAAGAACAAGAATATTCTTGTGCAGAACTTCTGAATATCACTTTTCTGAGCTTTCTGGGCTCCCCACAGCCATGCTGTTTTGTGTATATAAATTAGCAGCAAGATAGTGAACGCAATATTTTTTGAACATTCTGTATACAGAGACTTATTCTTTTACTGGAAAAAAAAAAGAATCAAAGGAAGAAATGTCCTTTTCCCTTCACAGTGGCCATCTCACAACTTTGTTTCTTACTGCTTATTTTAGGCAACAACATTACAGGACATTACTACACAACTGCAGAAATAAAAAGGAAGCACAGAATGAATTAAAAATCAAAATGACTTAAATCAGGCTTGAAAATCAGTATACAATTATCAGCATTCAGCATTTCTTTGCCAGCAATCTAACACACATACAGGCATGCAAATTGGTGTGGTTGCAGATATTCTAGCGAGAAATCAGCAAAACATTCACTTATTACAAAACGCAGAGCCCTGGACACTGATTTTACATCACTTTTAGACACTCAAAAATCAGGCCAATTTAGCAAAAATAAGACATTTTAAGCTGCGCTTTAACCAACTGGTTCCCAGAGAGGGGAGATGATGGTAAAAAGCATTTTGTATCCATGTTCTCCATGGTCCTTACCAGTCAGGGTAGTGGAAAGGGTGGGTGGGGATGAGCGAGGGCCAGAGACGTGCGGATCAACACGGCTGCAATTCTGCCTCTGTGTTGTCATCCACATTATATCTCCATGCAGGAGAAGGTCAGAGGCTACTTAGAGTCACACAGCACCACAGAGGTGAGGGCTCTTGCTCCAGCCTTTTGGCACTACCGTGATGGGAGAAGGTTTGTGTGCGCCTGACACAGAGCACCACACTCCAGCATGTGCTGGAATAACCTCTGACCCATCCTTGGATGCTGAGAAAGAGAGGCATGGGAGTATAGCTCTTATAACACTTGGAATTACTTACTGCCCATTTCTCTCCCCAGTAATTTTTGATTTTAAAAAGCCAGCCAAAACCACCATGGAGTTATCAAGCTCCAGACATTTGAATATTTGCCTTTAGGTTGCAAGTGAGTGCACAATGAATAGAAGCAGCTTTTTAAATAATCACACATTTGGGTGTGAAAATGAGTATTTTTACATTAATAAAACAACCAACAAAAATGAAACCCTTGGGGTGTGAAATAACCCCAGAACAAAATAAATAAATAAATAGTCAGTTTATGTGAAAATAGCACAAAAAAGTCATTTTCACACAGCTCCAGTTATAACCTCGTTAGGCTCAAATGTAAATGACACATTGGAATTATATTTAACTATTCACTCACTGGAAGTGGTACAGTGGTCCCTCTGCCACAGTTGGCTTTTTTTCCACCAAACTTGGAAGTAAAAGTTGGAGAACAGTTCATGGAAAACCAGATAGTGGGAATTTCATTCTGTCCAAATTCAGACAGAGGGGTAAAGAAACCACTTAAATAAAGTGATATTGCAGGGCAAGCCTACTCTTGCTACCCCGAGCTGCAAGGCAGATCATCTGTCAGCTCTATCTGCATCATGCTGACTTCATTTACACATCTTCGATTGAGCTTAGAGATGTGGTGATAACGCAGTTTAACCAACACAACACAACTTCTGCTGCAGCCATGAAGCAGAGTAGGAAAATAAAACATGAACTACCAACTTCAAAGATTATAATGACAACTGCATGCCTGTGCTTACCTGGCGTGCAAGTTAAAATCACCCCTAGACAGTGATGGTTTCAACTTCCAATATAAAATGTGACCAACCAATGTAAAGGCAGAGACAAACTGAGATTAGAAAGCCTTCTAAATAAAATCAGTTATTAAGAGTAAAATAGGCTGCAACTGTCCTTGCAGTATGCACTACAGTGTATGTGCATAATCATTTAAAAATCCTGGGAATTTGTCAATGTTTCTTTGTTATTATTGTTTTGTTCTAGAAACCTGCAGACTAAATACATCTACAGGATTATTAGGTCACTGATTAAGCAAGAGAGAGCAGACAAATGAAGTACAGCAAATGGGATTTTTCAAATTATTTAGATTTTGGAGTGTTGTTTATGCTTTCTGAAGTCAGCACCTCACAAAGCACTGTCGGAAGTAGTAGGAGTCCATCAGGATGACAGTCACTGGCCCCTATTTATTAGGAAATGGGCAACTGTCACAGAGAAAGCTATATTTGGACACTACCATATTTGTGGAAGATGAAAAAAGTAATCCTAAATACATCTTCCATTAAATGGACTTTCCCATCTGTGCAAGATCCCACCACTCAGACAATTTTTCTCCAGCCTCTTCAAGTATCATTCCTTTCTGCTTTCTTTTGAACTCAATATACTGTGCTGCTTGAAAACAGGATTTGGATATCCATGGTTCAAAATCACAGCTCAGAAGCTTATGCTTGAATTGAAAACAAAATATCCTTTCCGTTTCTGCCAATTTTTCCCTAAAACCAGTCGCGAAAATTCCATTCCTTCAAGGCCTTTCTCTTCTTTATTTCTTAGCTGATTACAGCACTGTGGGTGGACCAGAACTAGTCTTCGGCCTTTGGGAAAGAATTAACTCCATCAAAATGAATTTACAACTGAGAATTAATTATATAATCAGTGTGCTGCTTCAAATCTTCCTTGCATATCCTGACTTAAGAAACCTTCATTTCTACATTAATTGCCTGAACAAAACCACAAAAGGGGGTTTACAAAAGATTAAGCATGTCAGGGGAAGAAAAATAAAACAACACCAACCAAGACCCAGCAATTTCATAAATTAAGTCTTTTGTGTCCAGCTAATGCACATCAACTTAAACTTGTAAATGAAGACACCAAACCTCTGCCGCACTGGAAGTGGTTTCTAGATTTTCCTGTTTCTGAAATATGTAACACTTTAAGAGGGGCATGTAAACAGACTCAAAGGGTTACCACAGCTCTGTGATCTTCCTTCCAGGGAAGGAACTTATGCAGCTCCCAGACATTCAGGGACAGTTGCAAAAGAAACCTTCACGCAACCTCAACACTGAGGTACTTCCAATGCTGAAGAGTTTTAAAGAGTGGGAATATGAGGCAGGCCAGGAGAGGACACCCCCAGCACTAGCACAGCAGTTCACGATGGGGGAACTACAATGGTCAGAGCTGGGCTTGCAAGGGAAAATCATACGACTTGTGGAGGAAGAGACTGAAGGCAAAATTCTTCAATCGTCTGCTCTGGAACAAAGACCAAACACCGCCCGTTACTGCTTCTTCTGCAGCCAAGCATCCATTACAGAGTTGAAAGCTTCCATGGTGGAGATCCCCTAACTTCTTTTGATCATTTGTTTCAATGATTAATAGCTTTCATCTTTACAGAAAGCTGTTTCCTATTTTTTAAATCTATCCTGCAGATATTTTTCCTCTGGATACATCCAAACCAGTAAGCAGTGCTCCAAACACATAGACAATTTTTACTCTCTAAGGGTATTTCTGATGTATACTGCAAATATCACATGCACACAACTAAAAGTTAGGCTTGAAGCCACGAGTAAGTTCTAAATTCTTGCTCACTTGGATTTCATATAAAACACTCGCAGAAAAATCTTGCATGCAACTTTCAAACAAGTGGTATTCATCAGCAGATTTTTGGCGTGCCAAGGGAAACTCAATATATAAAGCTGAGGAACATTTGGGGGCAAAGATGAGGAAAAGGGGAGGAGAAAACATAAATAGGGATTAATGCAAAAGAAAGAAAAAAACAGGATACAGCCAACTGAGTCAGGAATGAAAATCATGAAAATCTTCAGAGATTGAAAGAATTACTCTGCCAAGCCCTGGGCTGGCCTAACTTTTGGGATTAGCTTTCTTACAGTAGCTGTCTCATTATGCTACTGCTGCAAGCACATTAGGGCAATGTTTTACCAGGATTTATCTGACATACCAGTTATTAATTCCTCATTGTATTAGCAACAAACAGGATTGATGGAAAGTGAAAAGAAAGGAAAACAGCTCAGACACGCACTGCTTTTTGCTCCAGTATTATTCTGCTTTAAAAAAACAAAAAACAACAACAACAAAAAAAAAAAAACCAAACAAAAAACCCAACAAAATAAAACATGCTGTAGTTATTTAGAGAAAAGCAGAGTTAGCCAAAGTTGGATTTAATTTGCAACTTGCTCTGTGCTAGACTACAAAACTCTGACCTTACCGGTGTCCAGCAAAACCTGTGCCAAACAACAGCTTAAGGCCAAAATACTCGTCCATGAAGAACCTCTGAAACCAGAAAGATTTTATTGGGTATAAACAGCAGACCACTGGCCTCTATTGTCTGCAGGGAACACTCCACTAACAGCTCCAGTCTAGCAGCAGAATGAAGCTCTTGTGGGAGGTGGTAGCCATGGAGTGACAGACAGTCTCTTGGTAGCTAAAATGAATTCCAGGCAGAGCTTTGAAAACAGTCACCACAGCAACCTTGAACTGGATCCTGCCTTCGGTGGGAGCCAAAGGCGGCTGAAATGAACCCAGCAATCTGCCTTGCTGAGTCACTGTCTTGCCCTGTGCTGCAATGTCTGCTGCGTGTCGAGGGGAGCTGCTCGGCACTTCCAGGAGGACGGGTACCCGGAGAGGATGGCTG